TATACATACATATATATATACATACATACATACATACAAATATATGTATATATATATGTATACACACACGCGCGCGCGCTGAAAATGTGGCCCATCGACAATTTCTGTTTTTTACAGCTGGCCCAGTTGAATTTGTAATTGCATAGCCCTGCCTTAGAATAAAGAAAGAAAACAAGCAGGAAGCTACTCACCACTGCGGACACACACATGGCAGACATGGTCCTAAATCACACAACACAGATGAGGCTCGAGAAAACGTCGTTGTTCAAGTTGTCTGCTGGAGAAACACTATATCATCTCTAGATGTTTCTCATCATCATACTGCTCCCCCTCCACAGTTTACTGGAGGGTAGAAGCTGAGCCGAGCTCTGGTGCAGCGACAGTCTCAACTGCAGTGTTTCATAGTCCGTGTCTCAAGGTGGACCGGTTTCAGATAGTACGGGATCAGGGCTTGGTTCAAAAAGAACGCTGTGCTAATTCCCATAGCGATGATGGATGAGGGCTACTGTGGGATCGCCGACTCGCCCCGTCCAGGCTCGTGAGTGTGCAGTGCGTCTCTCCTTCTGCGCTGCGGACACCGCCGCTGTGACGTATGCTCAGAGGGGCGGAAGATAGCGATGAAACTCAGCCAATCCTAGCCCGTCAAAGCCATGCACGTGTGATGAGGGGCGTTGTTCCTGCAGGTGTACCCAGGTCGGTGTGATTTCATATTCTCTGCTGTTAAACAAAACTGATGCTTGCTTTATGATAAAGTCTGAGTTTTAGTCAGAAACAAGGCCACTAATTAATGTTTTTCTCTCTCCTAAGTTGATTTAATCAATTTTCAATTAACCTTCATGAGTTTTTTTTTCTTGTCAAGTTATTACGTAGTAATACTACTGTAGCATTATGACGTAGTACTGTAGTGTTAAGAGTACGCTATTTTAAGAATATTTTCACTGCTTTATTTTTCCATTGGACAGCCCCTTCTGACAGGAAAGCCATTAAGAGTTCCCCACCTCTGCTCTTGTCAAAGCCATCAGACTCCATTGATAAAAACAGTAATTTTGGGTCACTGAACACAGGAGGTACTGCTCTACAACTTCCCCAATCAGTTAGTTAGTTTGCGTTATTGTGTGACTTTGATGAATCCAGTTAACCCTGTTTAATGCCAAAGTCACACAATAAATCAAACAAACTAAATGACAGAGGCAATGGGAGAGCAGCAGCACCTGTGTTCTGATTTTTTAGGGGGTTAAAATGTGTTTTGCTGCTGGTTATGTCCATAGCTGCACATTGCTTAGCTTCTTTGGTGGTTCTCCTGTCTGCCTCTCCAAACTGGGGACCACCCCACCTGACATCTACTGTAATATACTGACTATGTATATGTACCTCATACAACCCCATTTCAGAAGATCCAAACTATCCCTTTAAGAGCAGCCAATCAGTTTGAGAGATAGCCTGTTGTAATCCTGTGTTTTCAAGTTCAATACTGGGGCTGCCTTGGGCCAGCAACTGCTGGAAGACCTTATTTCTACAAACAGAAGTTTTATCCAGTCCTCTTTTACCATGAAATACAGTGGGAGTAAGGCTTTCTCAGAATTAAATGGCTTTCCATTTTTTTGTCTTATGACTGGAGTATATTGAAGACCTAAAAAAAATGTTACAGAAATAATTTTCTATGATGTTGAAAAACCTGTAATGACAGTTTGGTCAGAAGACAGGGCTGGAGTTTGCTGAGATTTCATATCATGTAGACTTCTTAAAGACCTAATAAACAATTGATTACTGACATACTGACGTGTGTCTCTACTTGTTGATTAAGTTATTTGTCCAGGCATGACAATGGCTGTACTAAATGAGGAAAGGGGCCCACTGAGGCTGCATATATACAGAGCAGAGAGTGACATTTTCAGATTGTTGTGCCAACAGTTCAAACGTGAGAGATAATCTGTTTTGGATGATATAATACTCAGAAAAGCAGTATATTTCCACATTTGGGAAGTTGGAACCATAAATATTTGGTATCGTTGCATAACAAAATGATTAAACGATGAACCAATTATTAAAATAAATGTAGTAGTAATCAGTTCTGTTGAGTGACTAATCTTTTAACTGACTAATTGTTTCAGTTCTGAACACCAAGGGCCGGATCTACTAAAGGTTTGCGTGAATAAAAACATGTGCAAAGTCATTGCACACACAAAAAAAATGTACAAACTGATTTACTAACAGTGCGCACTAAGCGCTGCGTCTTTCAAAGGTGCAAAATAGCGCGTCTGCATCCAGTTAGTATGTTTGCTGCAAGTGTGCGTGTGCTGGGAGGAGCAAATGTAAATATATTAATTTAGCACACGCAAAGTGATTTATCAAACCTGATAGCAATTTTGCAAATAGAAACTGCATCTGTATTTAACATGTGTCAAAGGGAGGTGCAAACGGTTTGTATGCGTAATTGCGCACACATGGCTGTGGTTATTGTTGCAAGAAGGAGACATCGAAACGATGAAAGAAGACACAGGGTATGGAAGCGAATCATGACCAGTATTTAAATTAAAATGCATTTGCAGAAATGCTTTTTCATTTTAAGAATGTGGCTGCATTATTTGACTCATAAATAAAATTAATCATCAATCATCCTATTTGCATTTTAATTTTCTTCTTCAAGACTGCTCATTCTTTCACTTAATTAAAATGAAAAAGATAAAGACATTTGAGATTTAATTTTCAAAAGATGCCCCAGCAAATAGATACCAAAATTCAATCTGAAATGTAAAATTTGAAAATTAAAATACATTTGCAGAAATGCTTTTTCATTTTAAGAATGTGGCTGCATTATTTGACTCATAAATAAAAGTAATAATCAATCAACCTATTTGCATTTGCATTTTCTTCTTCAAGACTGCACATTTTATGCCATAATCAAAAAGAAAACAAAGAGGACATTGCTATTTCGTTTTCATGGTCTGCCCCGCAAAATAGTGCCCATAATTCGAAAATGATTTAGCAATCTGAGCGGCGCAGGAGAGTGACGTCAGTAGCCGCTCTTCTTCGGCTTTGTGCTGACCGTGTGCTGATCATGGCGCTCCCTGAGATTGTGCAGGCACTTGTAGAATTAGCTGCCCAGGTGGATGCTAATATTATATCTGAGTCTGATGCCCGTGACCAAGTTGAGCAGGTCATAGAGAGCTTGGCTGCATACTCTGCCGTCACAGATTCAGAAGTTAATGAGGTTGCCTTAGCTAACCTCTCTTCAGTCCTGGAACGACTGGATGCTGTGGAGCCTCAAAGGGGACGAGGACGACCAGCCATCAACATCCCTTTCGAGGCCATAGAGAACTATTTATTAAATGGTTTAAAAGTGAAGGAAATAGCGGAGCTGTTCGGTGTAGGCTACCAGACCATCTGTCGGAGGATGCAAAGCAACGGATTGAGGTAACGGTAACAGGCTCCTTATTACTATTATTTGTAAAAGGACTGTGTTAACTACTAAACATATTTGTTGCCATTTGATGCTTTGTGCCAGAGTTAAAGACTGATCATTGTTGATGTGACTGCTGTAGTGTAAGGCACACCTGGATTTATCAGTTTGGCTAATATCCATATTCACAGCAGCCATGTCACTACCAGGTACAGCTGATGATTTCCAGACCAAAAAGTGTTCAAAACTCGCCAAAACACACAGAAAACTGCCAAAAATGTTATTATACTGCTTGTCATAAGAAAACACAATACTGCCACTAAAAATAATTTTTATAACTAACGTAGATCACTATATATCTATAGTGTCTATACTATAATCATGGCTCACTATACTGTATCCACCTTATTTTAAAACATGGAAGTAAATAGTGATCAACTTCCGTGTTTTTGTGCGTGACTTCCGGTCAGCCGCTTTCCCTCATGCTTTCCCTTACCGGAGCTAACGGTGCAAGCTAATTTTTTTCGATTTTCAATTGTTTATGTTAGTCAATCAGTTAGTTAGTTAGTTAGTCTGTGTATTTTATATAGATAACTGTGCCCACGTTTCCGTTATCTGGTAATTGCCAGTAAAAATAATATCCTCTAAACGCGAATAAATCGCACGTCAATCAAAAACTATGAACCAAAAAAGCACAGTCTATCCCGAGTGAGACAAACTGCTTGATCCCCGTCTCCAGTGTACCAGCAGAGAACCTGCAGAACCGAATCAGTGAAAAAACACACCGGGCTACACAGCCTCTCTACCTGAGCAGCTGAAGCTGNATATTAAAAACGCTGGGGTGTTGTTGTCATACAGTTGTCTACGGCAGCAGATCGTTCTGTGTTTCTACTGGTCAAAGTGACAGCTGTGATGGGAGAACTGGATCTCAGTGAAGAGCAAGTGGTCCATAACTTTAATTTTGGAGACAAAAAAATGTAGGCTTAGCGCCCTGTGGTCCATTGCCCAATAGGAAATGTAGAATACTCAAAAGTACTTCAAACGTACTTGAGTTACTTTACTCAGGGAGTAACATTGGAAGTACTTTTAAAGTAACTGGGTTACTTTACTCAGGGAGTAACGCAGTAACTGGTTACTTTTTTTTAAAAAAAGTAACACAGTAACGTACTTTGATTACTTTTAAAGTAACCCTTATCCAACACTGATTATTTGGAAAGGGACCGTTTTAACTACTAAACATATTTGTTGCCATTTGATGCTTTGTGCCAGAGTTAAAGCCTGATCATTGTTGATGTGACTGCTGTAGTGTAAGGCACACCTGGATTTATCAGTTTGGCCAATATCCATATTCACAGCAGCCATTTCGATGTCACTACCAGGTACAGCTGATGATTTCCAGACCAAAAAGTGTTCAAAACCCGCCAAAACACACACAAAACCGCCAAAAATGTTATTACCGCTTGTCATAAGAAAACACAGTACTGCCACTTAAAATAAAAAAACTAACGTAGATCACTATAGACAACTCACTGTGATGTCATAAGCCTTATGACATCACAGTGAGTTGTCTATAGTGTCTATACTATAATCATGGCTCACTATACTGTATAGTGAGCCATGATTATTGAAATAACTCCCGACAGGGGAATGGTTTCATTCTTTAATACTCTGAATCGAGTATTCAAGAGAGCTATGTTCTAAGAATAATGAATACATAACATTTTAGCAAAAGTTATTGTTAATTTGCCATTAACAAAACGTGGACATGATTTATTTAGTTCTCCATGTATTATCCCCCTTGGAAACTCATTTTCCCTATGTATCCTTGACTTGACAGCATAATGTGATGATAGTGGCAAACACCCGTGCACACACAATAAGCTAAAAAAATTCACATCAAAATGACTGCTGTGAAAATGGTCAGTTAAAAAAATTAACAAACCATCTTTCTTGCTCTTGCCAAGATACATTTCAGAAATGGTTTTTTGTTTGTTTAGAATGTCAGACATGTATTCTGCACTGAGTGATGAAGAGCTGGATGTCATCATTGCAGAAATCCACCAAAGTCACCCTAACACAGGATACAGGATGATGAAGTCATTCCTTCATGCCAGGGGACTGCTAGTGCAAAGTAAGTTTAATATAAAGTTTATCCCCATATGAATGCATTAAGTTCTCTGTAAGCTCAATCAATGCACGTTCTCTCAGTTTGACCTAAGTAATAATAATAATAATAATAATAATAATATAATA